CGTCTCGACCTACGCCACTGTGACTTTCAACACACGGCCCCTATATTTATATAATGTACATATATAACATTTGTTTCACTCGTTTGTAGTTTCTAGACTTGTTCTCTGCATAGCATTTGCTCTGATGGACCGGTTTTAAAACTAGGCTTGGGTCTGTGTTTATGTAGTGGAGAGGAATATTTGTACGTTTGAACGCGTTTCATTCAAAATCTTCCACTTACGTTACACGGTCGTAAATTTTCATAACGGATACGAAAAAATAATAATTGAAATCTTTCACGAATCAGATTACGAATACAGATTATAGACCGTATTTTTATTCTATACTAGCTGACCCGGCAGACTTCGTAGTGCCTAAATCGATAAATAAAAGACCTAAGCTTTTGTATAAAATAAACTTAAAACAAACAAAAGGAATCCGGTCCGATGGGAGACACATCAAAGTATAAACAAAATTGTTATTGTTATTTAATTCCGAGCATTTTCATATTTATCTACCTTTTAGACCTTCTCTGGACTTCCACAAATAATTCAAGACCAAAATTACCGAAATCGATCCAGCCGTTCTCGAGTTTTAGCGAGACTAACGAACAGCAATTCATTTTTATATATATATAGATAAAGTTTACCGAGAAAATTTCAAACCTGTCACCGCTTAGCATTTGCCAGTTTGAATAAAACTTACCCGCAGAGGTTGCTTACACTAGGCTAGGGATGCACGAGCGAACATGAAGGCGCAGTTAACCTGTGCACTTGTGACATTATGTGCCCGAGTACCGTGGGAAAGCAACGTTTTTTTTTTTAAATGTATGTTTTAAAAATGATTTTGTTAAGTGACAACTCTAGAACGTTAAGCATATTTACAAATTTCGTTGTGTCTCGGGTTTAGAATCAAAATTCTTCAACATACATTTGGTAAGCATGCTATGCTTTAAGATAGTGTCATTAGAGGCAGTGCCTGTGGTCCACTTCAACGTTTCTCACTGCTATTCGTGGACACGTCGAACGTGTTTAAAAAATTCTCGATCTTTCTATTTAAGCCGCATTTGAAGAATGGCATGTCATTGGGCACAGGCGGCAATACCTAGATGGGTTCGTTCTAGTCTGATTGATTTTCGTCGTGAAGCTATTTAAGAACTCGCAACGGTTTTTTTTATAAAAAGATATATTATGTGTATTCTTAAAATATTTATATTGGTGTAATTCTTACAAAATAATACACCACCAAAATAAAGTAACATGTAACTTGATGCTTAGTTTACCCGACGGTACTAACTGTGTCGGGTCTCAAGTCAGCATTGTTATACTGGTATTTAACCAGTATAACAATGCTGACTTGAGACCCTTTAAGTCTGAAAGTGAAACATCCGAAGATCCAGCAATGTAACGTCAATAGGTAATATACATGTATGATATTTCATCATGGCACTTGAACATTTATATCTTTGAAGTCGTCGTGGCGTAAAGGATAAGACGTTCGGTGCATTCGTATCTAGCGATGCACCGGTGTTCGAATCCCGCATGCGGGTACCAATTTTTCTAATGAAATACGTACTTAACAAATGTTCACGATTGACTTCCACGGTGAAGGAATAACATCGTGTAATAGAAATCAAACCCACAAAATTATAATTTGCGTAATTACTGGTGGTAGGACCTCTTGTGAGTCCGCACGGGTAGGTACCACCGCCCTGCCTATTTCTGCCGTGAAGCAGTAATGCGTTTCGGTTTGAAGGGTAGGGCAGCCGTTGTAACTACACTGAGACCTTAGAACTTATATCTCAAGGTGGGTGGCGCATTTACGTTGTAAATGTCTATGGGCTCCAGTAACCACTTAACACCAGGTGGGCTGTGAGCTCGTCTACCCATCTAAGCAATAAAAAAAATATGAACATCAAAATTGGATGAAATTTACTTTAACCACGTATTTTAATTACTTATACATATGCCCTAAGTGAAATGCAATCATTAGAACCGTGTAAACCAATCTCCATTGGTCTTATTACAATACTTATAATAAGGAATGATTGATGATTCTAACTAAGGTCAAGTTCAGAGTAATGCGTGACTGAACGAAGGCGGGCTACGAACCTACTAAATGGCTTAAGATCGATGAGGCGGTAACAGTATTATAATGTGTTAGTAGAGTGTGTAAGCTTTTACGGCTGTACTTTCCTACGCTCCAAATATACTTAACCGCTTTACGCCAAAAATACGTAGAACTTATCGATAGGCACATAACTTTACCGATAAGGTAACATTTGTTGTAAATGAATAATGGTTTTATTTGGGCGTGGTTAAAACGAACGTTCTAGCGGTAGGTGGATTAACAAAACGTAGAGGTCCTGCAGTAGTCGAAATTCGACTATAATTAATTGGAATTGTAAGTTTGTACACTATTATGATTGTATTTTATACTTCTATAATCACAAATTTCGCCAAGGCTACTCTATCAAAAATATTAACAAAGACAAACAATATTTAATCTTTTCTCAATTTGGGAACAGACGTCAAGAACAAAAGTTTGACAATAAATAGTATGCATGCGTGTGTGCGTCAAATACATGGCATGTAGTGTGTGTAATGTTTTCTTTATTGATTTAATGTATATTTTATGCATTATTTTAAAAAAATATGAGCATTGTGCACTTCTTATCTATATTCTCTATAAGTGTGGAAAATTTCATACCCCTCCGTCCGCGCAATTTTCGTAAAAAGGGATACAAAGTTTTTGCTTCACGTATTAATATATAGATGATGTATGTTTTCTGTTTTGCAAATTTGAAACTAACGATACGTGGTTTCCATTAAATTGTATTTAACCGGTACCATAAAAATTAATTTCAATTGTTTTTTTTCAACATTTTTCGATGTTCGACTAATTTTCGACTCTGTCATTAGTATTAATGTTTTCGTGAAACTCATACACCAAGTACACTTTGAAACATTGAATCTCCAATGGATAAATTTTTTGTGTTATTCATAGGCTTAAATAATAATTTCATTATTTAAGGATCATGATGTTTATGATTTCCGGTAACTAGATAAGTTCAGGTTTTTTTTTTATTGCCCTTGTAGGCATACGAGCATACGGTCCACCTGATGGTGAGTGGTTACCGTCGCCCATGGACTTCAGCAATGCCAGGGGCAGAGCCAAGCCGCTGCCTACCACGGTGGGCCGTGAGCTTATTCGTCCACCCAAGAAAATATAAAATGATAATTACATAAAATATAAAAAGAAGAACATAGTATGCATGCATGCATGTTTGAATGCTTTCAATAATTATTAATAGTTTTGTGTTATTTGCTCAATTTACTATATTCAATTATATATTTGATTACATTATTCAATCACTCGATTTCGTTTGTAAATATTAGATGTTAAAATTATTTAAAATCCTCGTTTTTTAAGCCATCGATCGTTATCGACAAGCGTTACTATACTTACTTAGTTACGTTGCTCTTAAAATTAATGCTTATTAATTCTCTTCGACTATTTGGCGGGAACGCGAGGAGTGAAGTTGTGTGATTTGTTTTATTTTCTCTATTTAGTGTTTCTTCAGGTTTAAATGTGTAATAACGGTGGTTTTTTAACTGTTTAATATCTGTGAAAGTGCACAAATGTGGGAAATGAAACAAAGCCGCTGGACGTAACTTCTCGGGATCCTCCAAAAAGCCCACTGAAAAAATCTCAGTAAATGACCACCATTTTACTGAGATTATATTTCATCTCATCTTATTTCATTTAATTTCATCCCAGTTGATTAATGTCTCAATCATTTTCATTTCATTTCATTTCACTCCTTATAATTAAGAATATAAATTAAAATAAGACATGACTTAAAGGTCTTAGTAGCCATGTCATAAAATCTCTAAAAAAAAAAAAATAGTTCTCTTCAATTCTCTTACGTCTAAAGAGCGTCAACGAATGTGATTTATTTTGACTGTCGTCACACGACTTCGGACGGCACGGCTATTTAGATACCGAAGTCGAATTCTTTACGTCGAACCATTGAATTCCAATGGTTTTAGGCGCTAGCTATAAATTTACCATTTTTTTGTTTGTTTATCCCTGCATTCGGTCGAATATAGTAGTTACGTATTCAGAAATTGCTCTGTCATTCGGCGTCTAAAAATATTGCTCTTGGCACGGTATGGATAGGACGGCGTTTACTCTTTGAACTATGGCCAAGTTTATATTATGTCGGGGTGCAGCAGCGCCGTTATCAAGTTTAGTGCTTCGTGATAGCTTATCAGTTGTTATTGATCGTAATTATTTTACTGGGTGTTAGCGGTGTGGTTGTTTGAGGTTTTTTTTTTTCATTTTCTTTATAGTATTGTTCATGTTCTATTTGAAAACAATGAACGAAGAAATTAATGTAAATTTAGTTAGTGTTTACTTTCAAAAGTAATGAAAATATTATGTTATTTTTTTATTGCCCTTGTAGGCAGACGAGCATACGGCCCACCTGATGATGAGTGGTTACCGTCGCCTATGGACTTCAGCAATGCCAGGGGCAGAGTCAAGCCGCTGCCTACCACCTATGTATAGTTTAAATGTTAAAGTTTGACTAAATTTCTTTTGAAAATGTAAGGTTGACGTAATTAAGTAGTTCAAAAATATTAAGTTTTTAACACACAATAATCTTTTTTACGCAACTTTAAGAGTTGGATGGAGCGCTCGAAACTTTGCGAGATCTTTTTGTTTCAACGTTAAAAGTGCGGCGCGGCGGGGAGGAGAGGCAGGCAGGCAGGCGGCTTGTCCCAGGGCCGTAAACCGACCTCCAGCAAGGCCATGCCCGGCCGGCACTTATTGATTTTTTATGCGCATTGTCCATTTCAACGTAACTACTACAACGCCCCACATTTTCGGACGCTCTCGTTTCCCGGCCGACGGCGACGCGACGGGCGATAACTCAATTCTAAATCAAGTTATTGTTCGGGCTAATTGGCAATTTGCGTTGACCTTAAATATTGATCGACCTCTGTTTTGATTTCAGGTTGTGGGACAGTGAAACGTGTCTACGTATACTAACTACAAAGTAAGTCTCAAACAGTATTTATGATTTTCAATTAAAGTATTTCATTACTATAAATGAGTCGACTATTATCAAAGCCGGCAATGTGACTTTTGGACAATTATTGGTAAATCAGAAAAACGAATTATTGACTTTGTATTCTATTGGCAGTCACAAAACTCTTCTGAACGACATTTTAGATAAATAACAGGTTAAGTATAAACCTTTATTTAATGCAGGTTTTGAACCGTATTCTTTGAAGGAGACGATTATATTCAAATCAATCTGTATTGACATATCAATAACATTTTTTTGTCCAAATGCACAGATTGCCACCTTTGATAATAGACGACTCAAATATAACAACAGAGAAATACGTTTACTATAACTGCGTTCGATAATAATTAAATAATATATTAACGGACAAAAAGTTTTTCGTTTCAATTTATGGATTGACTCACAAATTTTGGTCTCATGTAACAAGTAGGTCATAAGTTTTATCCCGCATGTTCTAATTATGAATTCGTCTCGGTAAGTTAGCAGTGAATTAAGTTAATTGAACGCGTTCGAAGCATTACTGATTGGCTTTATTATACTTGTACTCCCTGGAACTCGAGACGGGAGTACTGATTCTCCGAAGTTCTAAATTGGTTTGTCTTTGAGCAACGACCCTCAAGTGCGTCGTGAGCGTTCATAAAGTCTCGTAGTTTCTGGAATTCGCGTGTCACTGGATCTGCAACAAATAATATTGTTATCGTGTCGTGTCACGGTGCTAGATCACGTGCACGGTGATAGAAGATTGTTTTACACGGCGTCTCTTTATGCTGTACTGGTGGTAGGACCTCTTGTGATTCCGCGCGGGTAGGTACCACCACTCCGCCTATTTCTGCCGTGAAGCAGTAACGCGTTTCGGTTCGAAGGGCGGGGCAGCCGTTGTAACTATACTGAGACCTTAGAATTTATATCTCAAGGTGGGTGGCGCATTTGCGTTGTAGATGTCTATGGGCTCCGGTAACCACTTAACACCAGGTGGGCTGAGCTCTACGCAAGTATTGTACGTACTAACTATCAATATTGTCCCCCCCACAGTGAATTGGTTCTGTAGGTAATTAGTGCGAATAGTATGAAGGAGCAAACATTAGGTTCGTTTGTGTTACACTCTACATTTAACCGTGCCATTCTCGCGCGCACACGTATGTAGTAGGTATATCTGTTAATAATAATTGCGATTGTGTCTGGTTGTACGTGCGCGTCGCAGTTATGGCGCAGTTGCCGGGCGGTTCGAACCTCCCCGCACTTCTGACGCCGCCCCCACGGCTGGCGACCTGCAGATCTGCTACAACGCAGCAACACAAATCTTGAGATGAAATACCATTAGGTTGCATTCATTCAGCGACGGTTGAATGGGGGTATCCGGTTAACACATGAATAGCGACATCATCGCACATACACGGACCCTTGTTCACAATCGCATGGACCAGAGGAACATTGCCCAGCATACGTGTAGACACGTTCGAATCGAAATGTCACAAGCAAGAATGTAATCTTATCTAGAGCGTTTTTTTTTCCGCCGAGATGGCAACTGTATTGTTCGTAGGGACGCGCTTACGTGAACCGGTTGTTTATTCAGTAGACAACTGAGCTCTCATATTGCTATGAACCAGAGTTAATGTTTCATGAAAAGTATTGAATCTGTTATTCTTCATACATGTGAATTAACTTTTGGAACGAAGTACGACTTACCTTTGTAATAACGTACAAAAAATAACATAATTTTATCATTCATTGGCCACGATCTCAGAGCGTTCGTTTGCGCAATACACTAACTCTTATGCAAACAACCATGAATGAAGTGTACCACAATAAGTTCGCACGTTACCGTATGACCGTGGGTTGTTGCGAAACCTCCAGTTTTATTTTCTTTATACCTAGAATATAACTTCAAATTAATATTTTTATAATAAGGAATTTCGTTCCTATCCGGTGTCCCACGACACCACACATCTTTTTATTCATTGAGGCAATTTTGACTTGAATACTATTAGGTTCTACCTAAATTATAAAATGAAAGTTTGACCTCATGTATCAAGGTAGACAGCAGCATTCTCGTTGTGATGCCTATGGGTTCCGTTAACCATTTAAAACCACGTTTACCATAGAATCATAATCAGGTGGCTAACTTCGGTTATACTAAAAATAAAAGAAAAGGTGGGCGAATCAAACGAAGCTTATTTACACGATGTGAGGTGCACTGTGACGGTCTGATATTATTATAATAAATTAGACAAAATTGAAGTTCACATTTCGATAATAAATATGTTTGTACATAATATTATAAAAACGGAAACATTTCAAACAAAACAATTTCATAGTTTAATGATTTAAACAGCTTGTTTGTAGCAATTTTGCACTTTTGGTATTGTTTTGTAAAATTTGCATTGGTGTACACACCGTGTTGTGTGTTTAATGATGTCATTTGCAGTACGCCGGCTTCGAGAATTACCACTTGAATAAATTTGTAGTTTATTAATTCGTATTATATAATTAAAATTTTACGGTTTATTTTTATATCAATGTCTGAGTTTTAATTTTTCTAAAATGTTTGCTCGTTTTTTTTTTGTGGACTGAACGAAAAGTGCTTGTTTAAATCCAATAGCAATATAGAAATTGCAACCTAACAACGATACTTATCCTTGGGTGTTTTAATAATTCACTACGGCAGACTATTTACTGTTATACATATGTCAGAGACGGTCATTAGTTTGGTAGCTAAACGAAACGCAGCACGATTCCCGAGAGATGGAAGCATGATTGCAGTTTCGTCGGAACTTGGCTAACTTCGTGCTACAACCGAGCCTAGCCGATGGAGGCGCGTAGACGCCATCACATTTACCAACCAGCCTTCTTGAAGAGCGGTGCCTCCGTCCTAAGAACTGTCATTCTGTTTTCGTTTGCTAACGTCAAGAGAAGATTTCTAAATTGTTTTAAGAAAACAAACGTGATTGGTGTACTTATTTTTCTTAGCTCGATCACCCTATTCGCCCCTACGATGTCTGACGATGGTGTTTATAATTGTGACGTCTGCGATACATATTATGTATGTCCAATTTAAAGTCATCAGCTATTCAAAAGACATCGGCTACAATCATCGTGTCGCTGTATGTTTGACAACTGGTTTAAAAGGCCGGACGTTTTTCCTTTTTGGAAAGTATTAATCTTGAAAATAATATTTGGTTATGGTAGAAGGCAAATGTGTAATATTAAAACGTCTCAAAGTTAAAAAAAAAACTTTTCTAGTTTTTCTAGAAATTTCTGTACCCGACACTATGTTTCCAATTATTTGTGATAATTATACCTGTATACGAAACTTTGATGTCAGCTTGACAGTTGACGAAAAAAAAAGAAACTTAGTAATATCTATTTTCAGGTGACCCTGTTAAATAAAAATAAATATTTTAATTTAAATAAAAAATCGTTTAAATCGCAGTGTTTTGACCTCGTTATTGCTTTTTTAAATTTATCGTTTATATTGAATATATTAATATTCAAATTGTAATAAAAAATTGTCTATGCATATCTATCTGGATTTATCCGGTTTAGTTATTTTAGAGAACACACGTCGATGTACGTAATAGATAAGATAACGTGTAGCTTAAGGTGATAGCATTCTTTATAATTATGTAGCTCTTTTTTACTTTTTTTCTAGAGAATTTGATGTTTTTCGGAGAAATCGTTCGTTAAAAAGACCCCGAATAATGACTTCCATACTTCATCTAGTTTCTGTACTATTCTTTACTCGATCATCTCACAGTATTAAGTCATCGCACATAAATTCAATCTAAGTTATGCAAATAGGTAAAAGCTGTCTGTGAAAACGTGTGATGATTATTGTATTGAATTCTTAATGTCTTCACTGGACTTTTTTTGAACGAAATAATAGAAAAAAATTTGTCACATTTTATTAAGTGTTTTTATTTCTTGCACAAATGGGTGGACGAGCTCACAGCCCACCTGGTGTTAAACGGTTACCGAAGCCCGTAGACATCTACAACGTAAATGCACTTTGAGATATGAGTTCTAAGGTCTCAGTATAGTTACAACCGCTGCCCTGTCCTTCAAACCGAAACGCATTACTGTCTCACGGCAGAAATAGGCAGGGGGGTGGTACCAACCCGTGTGAACCCACAAGAGGTCCTACCACCAGTGTCTTTAAAATTTAAATACTTTTTACCACCTTTACAATCCTAAGCAATACTATTTATTCTATAATGTAAATACGTTGACATAATTTTTTGCCGTAACCTGGCAAATGTACTATTTGCCTTGAAATTTGTTAATTTGATAACGGTACCCAAAGATACCACAAAAATGCTGCCGCTCTTGTAACGTGAGGTCAATACAATTGGATTTGTAATTAGGCTTATACTCGTATGTAAATGTATGCAGATTTTGCGCTGTGTTACTCAAATTAATTGAATTTATTTTCTCGAGAATGGGTCGTCATTCTATGTTTAGTACTCCGTATCCTTGGTCGGTAGACATCCTCCAATAATCTAATGATTTAGCAATTATCCTTAATTGGTTTGAATCATAATTAAGTCTAAAGTAGCATTTATGAAATGCAAAAATCAAAAAAACCTAAGTAGTTTTGAACACTGAAAAATGTAACATATAATCGTCGTTTTAAATATATAAAATAAAATTAAAAAAGTAAAATTTTTAATCGGGGGCCAAAATAATTTAAATAAATTATTAATGCGATCCCGAGTAAATAAGAATTCTAGTGTTTAAACTGTGCTGAAGATATTATCGCTCTCAATTCGAAGAATATTTTAAAAATGAATTTGCCTTTAAAAATTTTACAATTCTATTTTGTACGTTTCTCGTATTTTCCCAATATATCATACTGACTTATAATCCACAAACTCAGACCTACGTTCCTGCGTTGTTCGGAACGTAAGCGGATTACGCGCACAACATTCCGCAGACGTAAATCTGTGAAAATCATTGCGAATCACATAACA